TTTAACTCATACCATCCAACTAATTCAAAATTGTTCTCACGTGCTACTTTTCTATAATAACATGTTAGATCATCAGAATATGTATCGTATCGTTTCCAATATTCTTTTAATCATTCTTTTACAAGATTTTCTCTTTCTTCTAATACTTTTTTATCTATTTTTTCTTTTAATTTTACAGGTTTTTTCTCATCATCTAATGTCATTCCTTTTTGATTTAATTTTATCTCTTCTAATTCGTCATTCAAATCATTTTTTATCTTTATCATCAAATCAAGTGCTTTCTTTCTATCCTTGTGATTCTGATAAAATAATCGTAAAAAATGATGTTGCTCTTCTGAATCAAAAGGTTGTTTGGTTATTTCTTCATAACTTTCTGGTTTAAATTCTTCATCGTAACTTTCGATCAAACTTGAATCAGATAACTTGATATCAAAAAATATATCTGAGACTGATACATCAATCACATCTTTTGTTCCATCTAGTTTTACGATAAATAATCGTAAAACATAATTATTCTTTCTGTCTGTTGAATCTGTTGCATCATATACAAAGAACAGATTTGATTCAATTTCATTAATCAGTTCTTGTCGTTTAGACATTTTACGTAAATAAAAATCTAGCTGGTCTTTCGACTAACTAGATCATTCAATATGAATCGTTTCCTTTATAAATTTATGAGTTATTTTATATTTTAGTTTATAACATTCTCCACATATGTTATGAGAATGAAATTTCTTATTCTCACATATATCACATGTAAGAAATCCATTATAACAATTATATCGATATGATTTACGAATATAATAATTCAAATTATAACAAATATCACAATATATCATATGTAATTCCTCAACTTTATCAAGATCATATATATACAGATAAACATTTCGGTTAACACCTCCACAATAATATTTTCCTTCTTTGTCTCGCATCAATTTTCTTTTTTCCATTCTATCACCATTTTTTATCCATATATCTTTTTTATCTTCTACGAGTTTGAATCTATATATCAATACTCTCCAATCATAAACAAACTCATAAAATCCATGTTTTTCTTCATTTATATCATAGGATAAATATACTTCATATAATAAACTGTTTATTCTTCTAAATTTTGTTTGCTCTCTTGGAGTCAGATAAGAAAAAATCTTAAGCCAGACATCATAACAAATGTTGCTCATGATTCTTATGAAGTTAAAAAATTGCTCGGTAATAATTACTAAGCAATTAAAGATATTTTATTAACTAGATAAAATTAAAAATAAGTTTATTCAATTTTAATATCTTGTAAAATTTTCTTTTGACGTTCAGAATCTCTATATAGTCGCATAGCTTCACGATTAACAATATAATTAAAATTATCTGATTCTTCATATTTCTTTAACTCATCATTAGTGTTGTAATATTCAAGTACAGATGAATAACCTAAAATAGTATCATAAACTTCTTTTTGATCAACATAAAATCTTCTTCATTTTCTATTTCAGGATTTTTCATTTTTGTTCGACGATAAATCTCATCTTTTACTTCTAATTCATATTGAGGTTTCAAATCATTAATCACAGACCACCAATTAATATCAAATCCATATTTCTCAGGATTTGATCTTATAAAATCAAAAACTGTGTTAATAATAGTTTCATTATCATCTCTTCCATCATAAAAGAGATCTTGTAACTGATCATATAAACTTGAAGATTCTATTTTTTCAAATTCATCTGAGGAATAATCAACAGAAGATAAATTACTTGAGGATTCAGGTAAAGACATTTTTTACATGATTAACTTTCTGTTCGGTAAAATATTTACTGAACAGATATATACAAAAAATATAAAATATTGCTATGAAATAAGTTTTTCAAACATTAAATTATACTCTTTAAAACAACAATCAGCTGGTTTATGATCCTCTTTGTTAGAGCAATCATTCTCGAACATGATATGTTCAGGATACATTTTCATGATTCTGGAATCATATTCTTGATACAACTTTGTTAAATACTCAACATCTGTAGTTTCTCCTGGTCGATTTCTTTTTTCTTGTCGTTTCAATATATTCTCGATTTTTGGTTTGATATAAATAACCTTGTAAATATTTTTAAGATCGATTTCTAATCTTCTCTCATGTAAATAGTCTAAAACATCTTGTTCTTTAATGTTAAGATGAGTAAATACTTCAGTATCAATATGTGTACGATCAAAGATCACATAATCATAACCAGTTAATTGATTTATCTTTTCTACTTCTTTCTTGTAAGTTTCTAAAATTACATGTTGAAAAAACAAAGCACGACCCTCAACATCTTTATAGAATAAATCTAATTCGCGTTTTATTTTTAATGATGTCTCAACTGGTCGGTATACTCTAAATCCTTCATCTTCTAGATATTTTGCAAATTTTTCTCCAAATGTAGTCTTTCCAACTCCGATTCCACCTGTTAAAATGATAACTTTTGCTTTTTCAACTCTTGGTTTCTTATTAATCTTTTGAATCTGATCTGGATACCTTCTCTTTAACCGTTTTAAAGTTTCTTGTTCAATTTTTTTTTCAAAATCTGGTTGAAATTCATATCTAACAATCTGAAAAGTTTCATCGATTTCTTGATCAATCAAGACTCTTTCTGCTTCAGTCATATTTCTTCTCTCAAATACATATTCTTTTTCATCATCGATAATATTACGTAACTTTAATAATGATGATTCAAGTTCTTTCAGATATTTTGCAGTTTTTCTTTTAAACATTTTTTATTACCTAGATAAAAATTCATTCGGTGTAATACACTGAACGAATAAAATACAATATCAATATGGAGTTATACGTCTTCTAATAAGTTTTCCTATCTTAATACTTCCTTCAAATTTTATACCAAATATTTCTGTATTTGTGTTTTCTCCTGTTGTTATATCTTCAAGAGAAACAATATCATCTATATCTGAATTTGAATATAATTTATGTGCTTCTTTTATCTTTTCGATTAAATTATCTTCGTTACATAATATTACTTTTTCTTTAGAATTACTAGCATAAGTCTGAATTCTAGCTGAAAATTTTGCATTAGATACAAAAATTCCTATAGTATTTTTAGGTTGTTCCATCAAAACTGCTATAAATTCTTTTACATCTTTTGGAACTACATATGATTCTTTATCTGTTCTAAATTTAGCTTGCATTATAAAATGCATTCCTTTATAACGTCCAAATATATCAATTCCTCCATCTCCGATACGTATCTTTTTACCATTTTGTTTTAAATATGTTTTAGTAATATTAGCTACTATATTATTTTTTGTGAGCTCTATCATGAGCTTTGCTTCATAATCATCTCCTATTTCTGTTGTTGATTTTTTTCGTTCCTAATTAATAATAAAAATGTTAGTACATCTGTATCATGCTATGAAACAACGTCACCACTTCAACAAACAGGTTTGAACCATGAGATTTTTTCACTACAATGCTATGAAATTTCACCACATCCTTCAAACACTAATCTGATCCTCATCTGATCATCTGACGAATATTGTATGATCAGAATTCAGAATCAAACTAATATGTTCTAGTAGCAGCGTGCACAAAATCTCAGTACTAAGCAAGATTAAA